TGGCAATTCTATTCTTCTGGTTGTTCAGATCAGAAACTTTGGAGTCGTTCTTGATTCTTCTTATTTAATCACACTTCCCGGTAGGTCCATCAGGAAATCCTCTTGGATATTTCTGGAATCCTCATACCACCACTCCACGTTGGTCTGAGCCATCATCTGTCACCTGGATTCTTGCAGTGGCTCCTAACTGGCCCCCTACACTCTATACTTAGAAGGCAGCCAAGGTTGTTGGATCTTTAAATCAGTTCCCGTCACTCCTCTGCTTAGAACCGTCCAGGGGGTTCGCAGGGCACCTAGGGGAAAAGCCCAAGTCCTTACAAGAGCCTGCAGGGCTGTAGATCTGCCCCCTCAATCCTTGTCTGATCTCATTTTGTGCTGCTCTCCCCTTCACTCATCCCGCTTCCACACACTGGCCTTTACACTGTCCTTCCCTGAACACGGACTCCAGGCTGGGACCTTGAACCTGCAGTTCTCCGACTAGTCTTTCCTCCCTCAGATTTCGCCTCTTTCAAGGTTTTAATGCAAATGGTCTGCTCCGAGCTCCTCTGTCTCTGGAGGCCCCTTCCCGTTCCCTTCACCCTCGCCACGGTCACCACCCCTCAACAGTCTTGCTCACTATTGTGTCTCCTTAGCCCTTACCATTATTGAACATACCCTGTATGTCACTTTTCTCCCTCTCCCCTTCCCCCCAGCCCGTCCTCCGGCCAGCGTGGGAGGGGCTTTACCTGTGTGCTTCCTGCTCCATCTCCCGTCCCTACAGAAACGTGGCTGGAACTCAGTATTTGTTTAATCAATGAACCATATGTTTAGATCATTTGAACGGGTGGTGGGGGTAGGGATTAGGTAATAGATTGGGGAAAAAAAGGAGAGAACAGACTTGTAATTGGCTTTATTTCTGATGCCAAAATGGCTGCCTTTTAATATTTTTCTCATTACGTTTACACATTAATCATTTCCCTATCTCCTTCACTGGAACACAGCACTGTAATCCGTCCCAACAAAATAACACACTAGTTCCACATCTCGGCATTTAACTTCAGGAAGATATCATACTGAAAATTTCCCAGAGTTCTTTCAGTTTTCATTAATTAAGGCATGTTTCCTTTTTTTGTATATATATATTTTTAATTTTTTATTGTTATGTTAATCACCATACATAGTTTTTTTTTTAAAGATTTTATTTATTCATTTATTTGAGAGAGAATGAGATAGAGAGAGCATGAGACGGGGGAGGGTCAGAGGGAGAAGCAGACTCACTGCCGAGCAGGGAGCCGATGCGGGACTCGATCCAGGGACTCCAGGATCATGACCTGAGCCGAAGGCAGTAAACCAACTGAGCCACCCAGGCGCCCGCATCATTAGTTTTTGATGTAGTGCTCCATGATTCATTGTTTGTGCATAACACCCAGTGCTCCACGCAGAATGTGCCCTCTTTAACACCCATCAGCAGGCTAACCCATCCCCCCACCCCCTCCCCTTCAAATGAACCAGGTTCAAATGGGGCAAAGCAGCAGCACGGGTAGTTGGTTCCGCAGGAGCTAACTGGGTCAGGCAGGTACTCCCAGCTTCCGCCTTCCCCTCTTCCCCAGGGTGGGGGTCTAAAGGTCGAGCCTCTGCCAAATGCAGGCCTGGACAGCCCAAGCCCCACCTGGCCGAGCAGGATTGGCTACCAGTGTCCACCTGCCATTTCTCGTCAGGAAAATGGCTGGCTCCAGTCGGCGACTTACCCTAGAGGGGGAGTGGGCAGGGCTGAGCGAGGAGTTGTGGGGACTGAGGAAAGATGAACACGTGGACCAGCCAACCACGGCTCCTGGTGAGAACTGCTGACAGAACATTCCCTGGCAGGATTTTTGTATCTTTATTTTCAGGATTGAACTGTGTACATGCACCCAACCACTGTGGATAGAGTGACATTACTGAGGGCATTTCTTAACTTTTTCTATGTCATGACAGATGATGTAAGAAATTCTCTGAAATTCTGGAGGTGACCAGCCTGGGAGCTCCAGCCACCTCACGCTCTGCCCAACTGAGAGGCTGAGTTGGCTGAGATCAGTAGCTTGAGGGAAACTACTTGAGAAGCTTTAGAGAGTAAAACCCAAGGGGTGCCTGGCCGGGGTAACTTGAGCCCCATGTTGCGTGGGTGTAGGGATTACATAAATAAGCAAAACTTAAATTTTTTTTTTTTAGAGAATGAAACTCAGGCCACCGGTGAACATTTTCTCTAGGGAGCACCTGAATGACAATATGAACTCACACCTACCTCAAGCATATCAAAGGCTTTAGATATATTGAATTGCATAGCTCTGGCCTTTTGGATAAGTGGTTTTGTTTTATAATTCAGAGTAGGCTCCCCTTAATTTAGTCCCTTTAGTTTACCACTAAAACATGTTTAAAATTAAAGATGTAGGGGTGCCTGGGTGGCTCAGTCGGTTAAGCGTCTGCCTTTGGCTCGGGTCATGATCTCAAGGTCCTGGGATTGCGCTCCCCATGGGGCTCTGTCCTCAATGGGGAGTCTGCTTCTCCTTCTCCCTCTGCCCCTCTCCCCTACTTGTGCTCTAATAAATAAATAAAATCTTTAAAAATAAAATGTAAATTCTAAGCAAATTGCTAAAATATCAAGTCTTCAGACACAAAATTATGGTAACCCAAATGACATTGCAAGTTTTTTTTTTTTAAGATTTGAGAGAGAGAGCACAATGGAGGGAGTAGGGAGAAGTAGATTCCTCACTGAGCAGGGAGTGTGGCAGACAGAGAGGGAGAAGTAGACTCCCCACTGAACAGGGAGCCTGACACAGGACTCGATTCAGACCCCAGGACCCTGGGATCACAACCTGAGCAGATGGCAGACTAACTTAACTGAGCCACCCAGGCACCCCAAAAATCTATTTTTATACACATATTAAGAGATAAATAATGTGTTATTTTCTAAAGCACACTCTGGAAAGTAAGGAAAGATTTCTGAATGGGGTTTTATGTCTCAGTAAATTTATATGGCACTGAAAATGCCAACTCAAGTTTCCAAAGCACAGAGTATTGTACAGAGCACTGCTGCTCAACCACAAGGACTGGCTCTCTAGCCCAGCTTCCCACAGAACACACCACATCCAATGTGAAGAGTAAGGTAGATACAGGCGAAGTGAACTCCTACTTTGAGATTCAGAGGTGACAAGTACCGATAAACATAAATAGGAACCAAGTAGGTGGAGGAGTGTTGGATATTTAATGAACTCCTGTGGCGTGAAGCCACTGATGCACGTGTCTGTCATCTGAAAACGTTACTGTGAAGAGTTAGGGTTTTTGTGTCGTATTAATGGTTACTGGTTTAATAAATGTAAAAATATTTGTCAAAAAACAAAATCCCAATGAAACTGTTAGGTAAAATTACTTTTATTTTCATAAATAAAAAGATAATTCATTATACAAACAATACTTTTGCCGAGTATGTTAGCTGTCATTATCCAGTTTAAACTAAGAATGAAATGTATGCAATGCACAGTTAACACAAAGTTACGTCCCTCTACAGCCTTCATGCAACTGCTTTACATCTGTTAACTTCCAAAAATTTCCAACACCATTTTAAAGAATATAATGAAGAATGGGGGATTCTAGTCACAATGCGTCACTTATGCTGAGTCAACACGCTATTTATTACTCATGTCGAAGTTGCCAATTACTGATTTAAAGTAATACCAGTATTTCTTGCATTTTACAGAAGCACTGACCGTATGACGTGTTTTCATTCCATATATGGTAGTATGATTCACAAAAATGTTAATGTGAAAATTGAGTTAACTAGGTTAATAAGCACTAGTACCCAACGACAAACAGGTCCTGTAGGCCAAGAGCAACAAGCTGGCATCAAGTACTGTTTAAAGTTTTGTCAGTAAATGGCATACAGCAAACCAATGATTTTGTAGTAGCACACAAAATACAGTGAAATTTAATTGAAATATTTTTTCTACACACAGCAAAATAAAATTAAATGTCTGTCCGGTTATTATTCCACTTATTAGAATCTGCAGCTTCAAATATTAAATGTTATATAGCAAGGGGTAATTAGCATTTCCACATATTTAAAAAAAAAACCCTTATTCTATGTATTTTCAAGAGTAAAAACTATGATCTAAGTAATCATTTATTTGGACACAACATTGATTCAGATAGGCATAATCTATTTCTTTTCAATTTTTTTAGTAATCTCTACACCCAACGTGGGGCTCGAACTTACAACCCCAACGTCGAGAGTCATATGTTCCAGGTGCCCCTATTTATTCTTCATAATGAAATGTTTATTACTATTTCAACACCTTATGCAGATTTTACTTATTTGTCACAGGGTTGCTGTGTGGATTCAATGGTTTATCTATGTAAGTGTTCAGCAGAGGGCCTGGCACACAGTAAGCTCCCAATATACACTACTATTATTTCTATTAAGTGAACCAATCTGTCATTTATGATGAAAAATTAGCTAATTTTTCCCAGAAGAATAATCAAAAGATAAGCCTACAGATGTGTGACTTTTGTTAAAGTATTATGCATCCACTATTTATTTCCCAGGTTTGTGTATACGCTAAACTAACTGTTTCAAGTATTATGAGCTATTTTTAAGATCATACTGTATGTTTGCTCTTTAAGTTTTTGTTATGGCCTTTGGCCTAAAGCAATACAATTTGGATAGGACGTGTGTATTAGAAAACCATACAGTAACAATGCACACTGAAGTCAGGTAACAAAGGCATTTTACCGTAACTTCTGTCACCAAAATGTAGAGTTACTAGTGTAATTCAGGACAACCTATCTCGTTTAGGTTTAAAGTTTCTTCTTTACATCACGCAATATCTCACTTCTACAAAAACATTTTCATTCTGTGTTCATTAAGAGCTGTCATCAAGTTCTGTCCTCTAAGTAAAACAACCCATCAGGAAAGGTACTTGTAAAAATCACTGTAGGTTTATTGAGATTGAAATAAAGTGCGAGGCTACCAGAACAGGAGTATGTGCTTTTTTTTTTTTTTAAGGATTTATTTATTTACTTAAGTTATCTCTATGTCCAACATGGGGCTTGAAGTCAGAACCCCAAGATCAAGAGTCGCTCCCCGCACTGAGCCAGCCAGGCACCGCTGGGGTAAGTTCTTAAAAGTTCTTAAATGGTCTCAAAATACCTATAAACACTGATTTCTGAACAAATTATAGCTTCTTACATATGTAAGGGATTTGGTATGAAGATTTTCTGATCTTAAACTATAAATGACTTTTCTACCAGAAAAGGTAATAGACCCAGAACATAACAAGTCTGTGTGAGAACGTAACAGTGAGGGGGAAAGCCTCTCAGTTAAAATCCAACTCCTGTCATTCTTCTGGCATCAAATAAGAGAAAGGAAAATAAACCTTTTTGTTTGTGAAGATAGAAAAACATACCTGAAACCACTATAATATAGTAACCGGAAACTTATTACTACCCAGAGTTCAGAACAAAAACCAACAACCAAACATGCCCTTCAGAGGCACAATAAAATCTTCTACATGTTGTCCTGATTAAAATGGAGTCTGGAAACAAAGCATGAAACTTCTCTACCATAGTAAAAATCAAGAACAAATAAACTGAAGGCAGATTCCCTCTGAATGTACTAAATCATTCTACAGGCTTCAGAGGAAACATTTCAAGAAATACGAACTGAAGTTCCATGGTTTATCTTATCTACTAGTAGAGAAATTCAAAGTGCACATTTTATTGATGTACTTTAGGAGATGTAGCACCCCGTGTCCTTCTGAGGTTTGATATCTGGTTCTTTCACAGGTTTCACCACTTCTTCGGGTTTGGGTTTGGTCTATGGAGAAAGAGAAACACAGTGTTAACTGTTAACTATAAACTAATATTTGGAAAACAAACACTAGATCTTTTCCACCTTAGACTTTTAAGAGATGAAATTACATAAAAACACTTCAAGGAAGGAGCTATGGCTGGAAATTAATTCCCACTCCCTTTTTTTCAGACCCCTCCTCTTTTGGCAGTCAAGCCTCAAATTTTCCACTTAATCTACTATTTGATTTAGTACACCTAGACGTACTTAGATATAAATGAATAAAAGCAGTCTTATTTTACCCCTGGATGATTTCATGGAATGTTGAAATTAGATCAAATCTTCAAATACCCTGCAATATGCTAAATCAAATACAAAGTATTGCTATAACAATACAGACATGGACAAGCCATCTGCATGTTTTAGACCTCTTCTCCCACATTCCTCTTAAAAGCGTCTCTGATAAACTACAGAAAGGCAAGATCATGTGTTCGAAAACAACCTCAATTATGTAGGAAATGAGAAGATAATTAAGGCCTAGAGATCTTATCTCTGAGAGAGTTCAACAACACACCTTACACCAAACACTGCAGTTAGCTAATTTGTTTAGACAAACATATGTAACTACTTAGAGAAAAATATCAAAATGCTAATTCTGAATTCTCTTTTTGAACTTTTGTGAACAAATGGAAAAAAGCCAATCTCGTACACTGTCATCCTTGGGTCTTTTGGTGAGATCAAATGCGGCCAGTGTGTCTGGTGTCCAGTGCACACTTGTAGGAGGAAATTCAAAAGGTACAGGCTCTACAAGACCATAATTTGCTTTGAGTTCCAGTTGTGGAGCTTCTGTTGGAATTTTTTGAAAGTAACTGCAAAAAGCAATTTAAAAAGCAATTCATTTCATTCATCAACTACTTGAGCGTCTACTATGTTCAAGGCCCTGTGAGAGAGAAAGACAATTTAATGATGAATAAGACAGACAAGATTTTCCTGCCTCATGCAGCTTGTATGAGTAGACGAAACAGGAAAACTTGTCAACAACAATGCATCGTAACTGAAGCTATAACAGATGTTGTATCCCATGAGAACACGAAAGAGGGGCAATTAACCCCAATGTTGGGGGGGCGGGGGTGCTTCAGAAATGCTTTCCAAAAGAAGTGATGGAAGTTATACTAGGCATGTTTAAGCAAGTAAAAGGGCTCAGTGTGACCAGATGCAGAATATAAGGGGAAGAACGTAAAGAGATAAAAGCGGGGACAAAATTGATTCTCCCAACCCACACAGGTGGTGATCTACAGTTTGAATAATGCTGACTTAACAATGGAAAACTGTTTGATAGGACTAGGCAGGACTGACAGAAAATCCATTTCCCAGCTTTATAGGCAGGTGCAACCAGAGTGAGATGAATATGCAAAGGGAGCAGAGGAGCTATATATAACATATGGGGAAGAAATAGCAGGGAGGCAAAGTTAAGAGAAAATTAAGACACTATAAGTGAGCTATATGTTAATAACTTATATTTAATTTTAAAATCTGCTTTTATAGATCATCATCAGAAGCAGAATGAAGTCAGGTCCAACACAAGGGAACTTTATTACCAATTTAAAGACAAAATTAGAGTTAAACTTAAAATGCAATCTGACATAAAATCTGTGGGGGTAGAGACTAACAGAAACTGTGAGATTACTGACACAATATAAATATTTAAACATTATAATTACAAATACATATGCTATACTAATATTACTAAAATAATACCAAGATGTACCCACATAAATCCATTTTCTCTCTGACATTTCTCTAGGGTATTCTTCACAAGATTTCCAAGTTTCCTAAAGAATAAGTGTCCTGAAGGTTTGACCGTTGGTCCAGGTCCTTTGGTTTCTCCATATTCTTTGCACAATGCCTCTGCCTTTGCATAAACTGCATGTGAAAGGGATATAAAAATCATTTGATTATAATTATTGACTATACTAAAAAGGCTTTGAATCAGAGATGATAGGAACTTTTCTGCTCCTTACCTAGTAGGACAGTAATATCAGTAATAGTGTGAGGGGAAAGGGGGTATTTTCTACAGGTTTTTTGGCTTTTAAAACTTTGTTTCTCTCTGTCCAATTCCCTCGCTTGGTCCCATTCTCTTTCATGAACTCAGCCAAAATCTCTTTTAACTGCTTATTTCCTTTTATGATAAAACATTTGTTTTTTAAAAAGGAGTTAATATTCTGGCAGGAATACTTACATTTTTCTGCTTCTTGGAGAGACCTGATTGCTTCACCACATTTATCACTAGCCAACAAAGTCTGACCATGATAACAGTAAGCCTGATAAAGAAACAAATTTTTATTCATTCTCTCCGCAAATGATGCTTTCTGCTATCATTTTACATACGCATCAGATGAATGAGTGCCTCTGTCCACTGTTAGAAGTATCAATGCAACCCCTTACACTTCTTTCCTTCAATAAGCTTCCCCCCAATCTCTGCTGGTATAAAAAGTGGGATTATGTCAAGGTTTTGAGCCACACTAACCTTCTAACTATGGGCTGACAGCAAAAAGTATTTCTGAATAATGAAATCTGTTTTTACAATTTGGGCACAGCAGATAAAGGAAGGAAATTGCGGTGCTAATGCAGAGGGATAGGGAAAGAGGATTCTAAGGTTAATGACTAAACAGTTGTCAAGAGACATGTTATCAGCCTGTAGTAGGACATGCTCATTCTTTAAATGTCTATATCAAATGCAGGACTACAAATGCTTGAAAACAGACTTTTAAGGTATAAGGAATAAAATGATCAACCTGGATCCAAAAACGGTGTTTGATTATCTCTCACATGACATTCTAACCAACAAACAAGTTTGTTGGTGGGTGTAAGAGACTGATAAGTAACTTCTCAAAGAGTGCTTACTAATGGTTCTGCACAGATCCAGGGGACATACTGGGTGTAATGCCTTAAGATCAGAATCAGTAAATACCTTCTTCAACGTACAAGATGAAAGGAGAGAATTCTCATTAAGTAGGCAGAAGGTTCCAGATTAAAAGTGGGTTTCGCTCAAATAAAAATTCCACTGCTATAACCCAGTTCTACAATTCTACATCATGTCCTTCCTCCCACTTCAGCTCACAATGGCTGCACTGTCCGTGAACAGTTACTGAGAGCTGTCTGTTATTTGTAAAATGCTAGTCTGACAAGATGACAGACCTAGCACAGAAGGGGCTGGAAAGACAGTAATTTACATTGTTTTTCAGGTTATAAATACTTACATAAGCTGTGTAGAAACACATTTTCAAGTGAAGATATTTTCTCCATTTAGCAGAATACGCAGGCTCCAAACTGGATAAAGTATGATCTAAAGTTACATTTTAAAAAGCAAAATATAATTTCACCCTGATTCACTAGAAGACTTTTAGATCATGTGTTCAGATGCTAAAGGCAGAATGCCATTCAAGTCTAAAACTCAAGCATTTACACATTTTCCAAAAAAACTTTGCTTTAAAGTGATTTTCCCATAATATTTTAACTACATAATAAAACTGTTTAAATACCATGGCACATCTTTTGATGGTTAATGTAACAAGTTTAAGATAATGATAAAAACAGAACTTCAAGATAAATACAAATTACATACTATTATACTGTTTTCTTAAAATTAAAAAACATAGCAATGCGTAGTGTGGTCACCCAAGTCAGGAACACGGACACTCTCCTTACTGGTCCATCACTGCAGCACTGAATCTTGCCTAACACACTCATTCACATCCTGCCAACTTCTCTCTAATTCATTTCCCTTCCACTCCCCACTTCAGCGTCTTTGTCAATGCTTCCATCACTTCCTCCACAGACTATAGTCACCTGTGGAGTCAGCCTAGTAGTCCTTCACCTAGCAAGCCCATTTCTCATCTTACAATTAAGAGACCTTTCTTAAATTTAAATCCAATCAGTCAGATTTGCTTCAATTATCTACAGAATAAAAACCAAACTTCTTAGATAGGCTTTCAAACCAATTCAGGATCTCACACATGCATACTTTCCTAACCTTTTCTCCTATCACTCACCCTGTGTTTCAGCTAAGGCATCTGTTTAAAGGTCCCAGAATGTGCTAAATTATTTCTTCTCTCTGTATGTACTACAGAATATTCTACTCTTCCCATATGGTAAAGCTTCCTAGCAAACTTAGAACTTCTGTTTATGTTTCAAAGTCAGGCTCAAATGCCACCTTCCCCTAGACAGTCTCCTCTAGCATCCCCAGATCCTTTTGGTTTTTATTACACTGCTGTAATAACATCTTATTTTGTGCTATAATAACGTGGCTATGTGTTTGTTTCTTTCACCAGACTGTGAATCTGTTCTACTGATCTTTGTACAGCTAGCAACTAAAATAGTAATCATCCCATAAATAGAAACAAATGCTTGTTTCCTAAATAAGTGAATGAAAAGAGTAACAGGCTAATGAGAAGACCTGAGCTCTAGTCCCAACTTCACACCTGCTCACAGTTAAATTACAGGTTAGCTAAGTCTCTGGAGTTGTTTCTTTAATGACAGCAACTGTAAGGTTATTATTAAGATCAAAAAAACTTCAAAACTAAAATACCTGTATAATTATTACATATAACTGGTTAAGAAGGATTGCTGTGTCCTTTCCGTTTGAAGTTATGTAGCGCGTTAACAGTTCTCATTCTTTGAAACAAGATAATAACACAGGTATTATTCCAGTTTTGCAAATGAAATAATCTGAGAATCTACTTGTTTTGCTTGTTCCCGGTTAAGCCAAGAGTTTAATCTGAAAATCTAAAGACTACAAATATAACAAAAGAATTACAAACTTACCAGCTTTTTGATAGAAGTTGGCAGTTTCATAGGCCAGTGCAGCAATTAGTCCAGGAGCATGTTTCAGTTCAATTGCTCGAGCAATTGTTACTGTAACCAAAGCACAATAAAGTGAATGTGTAATTAAGTTTACTTGCATTAAATTAACTATAACAGCAAAAGACAGCCCAACAATCTATTTGGAATTTTAATAGTTTGTTAAGAATTTTAACATGAAAAGTTAACTTACAGAAAATGCAAACATAAACCAAAAACACTGAGCTTGCTGATTCTGATATTGTTTAAGTCACTAGCCAATTACTAGCTAATCACAAAAAATTACTACTACAAAACAGCATGTCAGAGGACAACAAACACTTCCAGGGCACTGGAATTTAAAATAAAGAAAAACAAAAAGCCTACAAAGTTTCTTTATTGGGTTTACTGGAGTCTTCCTTTATTTCCTGCCACTGAAAGGTGAAGATTTAAAGGCAAGCCGAAGAGTGCAAGAAGAAAAGGAAAGAGCAAGGTAGAGGGAAAAGACGAATTACAGAATTAATCTGATGTTGTCAGAAAGGGCATGACATCAAAATCCTTTTTAAACTGCAAGGCCTCTTCCTGCTAAACTATCCATGAAGGCAAATGCTGAAGGTGAAGTTGTTCCTCACTATAAATCTCTCAAATGTGAGACTCAAATCCAGCTAATTCTGATTAAAAAAAAAAAAATTAGATGCCAAGAAAAATTTCTTAAAAAAAAATCTTACAATATTTAGGATACCTTCTTGAGCTTCAGCCTGACACTGGACAACATAAGCTTCTAGTAGTCGCGCCTCCAAGTCCCTCCCTTTTTCTGCAGGTGTAATAAGCTTTGGGATATGACTTTCCTGAGAAAGAAAAACAACAAAGAAGCCACATTTTATTTCAACCCAGTTGTTAGAGATGAACAAAATGGAAGAGACATTCAATTTGGGGATTTATCAGAAATTCAGGGGGCGCCTGGCTGGCTCAGCCAGTAGAGCATGTTCCTCTTGATCTCAGGGTTATGAGTTCAAGCCCCACCTTGGATATAAAATCTTGGGGTTCCTGGGTGGTGCAATCAGTTAAGTGTATGACTCTTGATTTCAGCTCTGGTTCTGATCTCAGAGTCCTGAGATCAAGCCCCCCATCAGGTTCCGTGGCCCAGCATGGAGTCTGCTTGGGTTTCTCTCTCCCTCTGTCCTTCCCCTCTCCTCCCCCACCCAAAATAAATAAATAAATAAAATTAAAATTAAAGATAATAAAATCTTTTAAAAAAAAGTCTTAAAAAAATCTTAAAAATAATTCAGGGCACCAAAATTTGTGTAAAAAGGAGCAATATTAAGCTTTTAGAGAACAAAAGCTCCTGTATACTAAAACTTTTTAAAGCTTCTCATATGTGTCTGCAAAACTTAGGTCAAAATAGATAGCTTAGATATGCAAGTTATATTTTCATCTTAGAAAATGTTTAACTGGGGGCGCCTGGGTGGCTCAGTCGTTAAGCGCCTGCCTTCGGCTCAGGTCATGATCGAGCCCCACATCGAGCTCCCTGTTGGGCAGGAAGCCTGCTTCTCCCTCTCCCACTCCCGCTGCTTGTGTTCCCTCTCTTGCTGTGTCTCTCTCTGTCAAATAAATAAAATCTTTAAAAAAAGAAAATGTTTAATTGAAACAGTAACCAAAGTTCTCTTTTGCATGACAGCTAGAATTATTCATTTATATTAATAACTATAGAAGTAGAAAGAGGTCTGTAATTCTATAGGTAACTCAGGATCGTAGGTTTTTAATCACTGTAAAAGCATCTTATTTTATCATGAGAAAACCTATTATTGGCCTCTGGAAGGTGTTTAGTAAATAGCGGTTTAATAAAGATGAGGTGGGGGTAATCCTGATTGCTATATACATCAGTCCTTCTCCTAATTTCCATCACTGGAGATTTAATATAATTACTGCGTACTGACTGCCCCTCTAGCCTTTTCATGGAGATACAGAGAATACCCTCAGAAGTTCAGTTTTGCAGAATCATGATTCATCCTGGCAACTGCCACAGACCGCAATGAGAAATGGTAAGAACCGTCAATTTTCGTGCTTTGTTTTCTATCTTTACCAAAGGGACACAAAAATAACCAGTGAATTACAACTTGAATTTTCTAATTGTAAAATTCACTGACGATTTTCTAAAATGAAGACATCTGAACTTCCGTAATTGGATGCAATCATCAATAAAGTATTCAACATAAGAAAAACAACCCATACTAGGTTCTTTTTACAAAATGAAATAATTCCTTCCCGAATCATTCCCCAAAGAAAAATTATTCAAGAATTAAAGAATTAGGAATATATTTTATCATTATTATTATTTTACCTTTAAATGTTTAAAAATCCCCGCTGCAATTTTTAGGCTTCGATGGACTTCTTTTGCTTCATCTTCTGTTATGCTTAAAGACAGTGGTTACATCAGAGATGAATCCTGTTTCTTGTACTAAAACCAACAACTAATGTGTTATCATAAAACCAAATTAGTCATTTGTATTTCTCACCAGTAGTTTTCTCCCTTCAAAAAAAAAATCTGACTCTTAAAAAAGTAACAAATGCACATGAAAATTATCCACAGAAGACACTATAAATGAAAAAAAGGGAGACCCTGTCTATAGGTTGGGTCAGAGGCTTCTTGCTGTTCCTTCCAGATAATCTTCTGTGCATCAAACAAGCACAAAATATTCTACACTTAATGCATGCACACACTTAACACATATATACACTCTTGTTTTAATCACCTAATTACTTTAGAGATAATTTTACATCAGCACATATAATTCAACTTTATTTTACTTATTTTTTTAATATTTTATTTTTGAGTAATTTCTACCCCTGATGTGGGGCTCGAACTCACAACCCAAGATCAAGAGTCACATGCTCCACTGACTGAGCCAGCTGGGCGCCCCTCAACTTTATGTTTAAATGGCTGCATATTATATGCATGGTCAGATGCACCACAGTTGGTAGCTGCCAGTTTCATATTGGTAACATCCATTTTTACTATTATAAAAATTGCATCTTATTTCATTTAACAGTTCTTGAATCCTTCAAAACATCTTTCACATCTTTGTATTTCTTTTTCTGTGAACTGCCTGTTTATGTCCTTCACTTATTTTCAAATGATTTGTTGGTCTTTTCCTTTCCTTTCCATTATAAAAACAATTTGTCACATGCATTGCAATTTTTTTGACCATCTGTCATTTGTTTTTTAACTTTGTTTATGGTACTTTTATGCAGTCAAATATTCTGTTTTTTCCTTCTCTTGGTTTGGGGTTTTATTTAGAAAGACCTTCTTCATGACAAGATTAATTTTTTTTCCCTTTTAACACTGGGCTCCATAATCGATACTTAAAATACCAATACTATGAGGCAACCTTTCCCTTTACAGAAGTGGTATTTTTTATCAATAGCCCAGACTTTTTAATAATGAATCTCCATATATTTGAAAAATAACACATACGTATACAACACTCCCCTTTAGACTTACTTTTCTTTTCCAGCCAGTCTTGAAGCATATTTGGTATACCATAGAGCTACATTAAATCCCATGGAAATTAATTCAAAAACAGCATCCTGCTGGGCACTAGAATTATAAACATGAGTGTCACTAAGTACTGTCAATTATTGAGACATTGCTATATGAAGCCCACTGTACATCCAACTCAAAATTATAAAAGAACTATATGCTAACTGGAAAAATGAAGAAAACAGTCCTTGTGTTTAATGACTAAAAATAATGGTCCATAATAGTAAACAGGAGAATAGTAGGTTTTCAAAGGTTACTGTACAAAGACTAGCTTTAAAAATACAAATTATGGAGACTCAACTCCAGAGAATCACGAAGTCTGGGAGGGGCCCAGAATCTATGTTTTTAGTAAGTACCCAGTTGATGCTGGAGTGGGTGTTTCTCATACCAATTTAAAAAGAATGGAATTCAGAAGAGAGATTGTTTCAGGCAAGAATGATTAAAGAAGGTTTAATGGTAGAGAAAGTCTCTGAATTGTACCTTGAAAGATGGCTAGAGGGGAGGCAGAAGGTTACCCCTTCAGGTAAGGGAATGATGCTGTTAAAGCACAAGAAATGCATAAACATTTTTTTCTGAGAGTAGTGACCCGACTAGTGTGATGGAGCACACGGTTTGTAAAAAGAAATGGAGGTCAAAAAGCCAAGCTGAGGTGAAACAGGTAGACTTTGAATGCCAAGCCAATCATTATGTGTACCACAAAGAAAAAAGGTCTTACAAACATCTTATTTGTTTCCTTCAGATTCTATTACTAAATATGACACCAAGAGGATGACAACAGCTTATTTAGCAAATAAGGTAATACTAATTTTTAATCATTTCTGCTTTGATAAGAACTTGAATTTTTTTATACATTACTCATTTATCTTAAGTGATGAAGAAAACAGAATATTCTTATTTTATACACATACTACTAAGATACAGAAAAATTACCCAAAGGGAAGAAACTAGAATCATGGTCCCACTTTGTGTTTTTTAAAGATTTATTTATTTGAGAGAAAGGGTACGTGCATGCGCACAAGCATTTGTGGGGGGAGGGGCAGGGAAGAGGGAGAGAGAATCTCAAGCAGACTCCCTGCTGAGCACGGAACCCAATGCAGGGCTTGATCTCATGATCCTGAGATCACAACCTAAGCCAAAATCAAGAGCTGGATGCTTAACTGACTAAGCCACCCAGGTGCCCCTCCACTCTGTATTTTTTATATAACTGCTGCCTCATAAAAGGAATGGAAACAGGGAAACTTCTTGGATTAAAAAAAAGGAGGGGTGTTATAAAACATTCACAATTCAAAAATAACTTACATACTATCCTGTTTAATATGTTATAATACACAAAAATGTGAGTTATGTATTTTTTTAATGGAATGCTTCACAAATTTGTGTGTCAGCCTGCCAAAGGGGCCATGCTAATCTCTATACTACTCCAATTTTAGTGTATGTGCTGCCAAAGCAAGCACTAAACAAACTTCTTAAAAACAGTTTTACCCCAATGATAAAAGCTGTAATGCATAGTTTAAAAGTTTATTCTTGGGATGCCTGGGTGGCTAAGTCAGTTAAGCATCTGCCTTTGGCTCAGGTCATGATCCCAGGGTCCTGGGATCAAGGCTCGCATCGGGCTCCCTGCTCAGCCTCCTTCTCCCCCTGCTTCTGCATACACTCTAGCACTCTCTCTCTCTCTCTGAAAAATAAATAAAATCTTAAAAAAAAAAAGTTTATTCTTTTCAGAATTGAGAACTTTCAAATGAATTACATCTGGTAATCTGGTAGGCATATCTAATTTATAAGTTTACCTTTAAATAAGATAGTTTTGCTAATTTATATAAAGTCTCATGAAAAACTGTTTCCCTTTTCAGCCTTCATTTATTTCAGTCTGCCTTGTTCCCAAACACTCCATTTCTATTGTACCACATCTTAGTAGTCAGAATGTATATAGTTGAAAAAACATTTTTCAGAACAGATATATTCACAGCACACTTTCTACTGAATAAACAGCAATCAAAGATAAAGCAACTTAAAAATCTCAGATGTAGAGAATATCGGGTATCATTCCTTAAGGCCTTCATCATCTGATTTTTCAGTCTCATAAAACTCGCTGAAAATAGCTGTCACAAGGAATCAAAATTTGGCATGGTGGGAAAAGTGCCAAATGTATGTAATACACAACACTTTAGAATTTGCCAAAGTTTTGTGATGTCATAATGATAGAGGTTTGACTCTAAAAAACATCTTTTTGAAGAAAAACATTCCTTAATTTTAGATAAAGTACAAAGGGGTCACATAAAAAAGAAAAAGAAAAAAGAATAGAAAAAAAAACATAAAACGAGGACTTGGAAAACCTTAGTATCCCAGAATATTAAAATTTGGAAAGAATCCATAGTCCCCAACTTCCTACCAAATTTATGAATTCTACATACAATATTGCCAAGGAAGGAAAGAAACTAACAATTTACTAAATATCTACTATACACCTGGCATTATTTGAGTCACTTACCATAAATCTGCCTATTTTGTTCCTCACAAAAGCCCTGTATCTGTAACCCCAACCCAACCCAGAGTTGAAGCAGGTGTTCACAGAGAGACCTGAGATTTCATCTGAATATGTAGGAATCCAAAGTCCACACTCCTTCCACTGCAATGCCTGCCCTGGGTCTCTCAGCAAGCTCCACTTCCTTCCCTTCTGACTTTATACAACTTTCTACAGCAAATGGAGATCCGGATACATGGTCATTTAAGTAATACAATGGTGTTTAAAAAAAAAAAAAGTTCAATAAAAGTTCAGCACCATTATGATGTTTCCTGTTGTAACTAGACCTCTTCTGATTAGTTTCAAGTGAGTGGTAAGAAAAGTTCGGAGGCGAAATTTTTTAAAACAGCAGAAACAGTGACAAGAAATTAGGAAGAAAATAAAACTATGCTCAAAAGAGTATGGAGCTGGGGTGGAACTGGGGACAAAGAGAAAGAAAGAGACTGACCAAAGACATCTGAACTATCCATCATAAAAGAAAACTAGGTGAAAAGCAAACTTTTGCTCTCCTTGAAGGCAGGCAAAGACAAAAAGATAGATTTGGATTCTAAATTTCCAACTGTTCTTTGCGTATAATTAATAAAGCCAAGAGTGTTCAAGTCTGGTTAACATTTGTATTGACCATCTCAAAAATAGATTTGGTCCAGGAGAAATAAATTATTATATTTTTACTTAACAGAATGTATTAAGAGTTTAGGTCAAATGTTTTTAACTAATTACCTGATAAGAGAAAATGCTGACCACATCTATATTTTATTTCTTCAAAAACAGAGGCTATGGGTTAACCACTGGCTAAATTGTTACAAAAATGGCTTCCGTTTAGTACTGTTAGCTTGCCTACCTTGGAACCTGTCCTTGTAATGTATCAGTCCACTTGAAATTTTGAATATATCGTAACTTGCTTTCTTGGGTAGATTCATCCAATGAATTTATGAAACCTGTAAAAAGGTATAGCATAGCATTTCAGTTTTAGAAGAAATATCAAGTATTATGTTTAAAAATTTTTTCAGATAATGACTTACCAGACACCTGAAGAAAACTCCTAGCCCCTCTCCCCGCCTCTATACTTCACACCTTCTTCTAAGGTAATAGTATGAAATACGTACACATTTAATTTTCAAAATGTTAGAGGGACCAATACCATCCTGACATTCTCACGTTTCTGAAACTCAAGTATATCAAAGAATACAGACTAGAAGGCTAAACTATTCAAATTTGTAAAGTCTAAGAATTAAATGTGAATTTCTGCAAAGTTGTTTTTTAAAAAACTCTGAAGTTCCCATAAATAACTAACCTTGTAAAAGTGAGAAATAGGAATCTGATGCATTCTTCATCATTTCTGGATTACAGCTCAAATCAGTGAAGAGTTCAAGCAGTCGTGCTCTGGTTGATCTCAAGTCACTTATATGAGACAGAAACAGTAAAACTAAGTAAGCTGCATTATGATGAATCTATGTAAAAGTGGCTTAAAGTTTCAACTGTAAAAAGCTTTAAAATAATGCACACCCATACACTTCCTCTAAGGTATTACTAAGAGTATACAGGAATAAACTTAATTAGGACTAACACTGGGGATAGGTGAAATTTCTAATAACAACTGTTTTACAAGTTGTACTAAAATAAACTCAGCCCAACCTAAGAGGCAAATCATGGATACAATTGTGTAATAAAAATATACAACAAGTTTCAATTTAAAAAAAATCACATAAACACAAGCATGTAAAATGGGAGAAAGAAATTAAGAATGAGTAAATTAAACAGACCTGTTCACAATAAAAGTTTTCTGCAAAATGGAAATTTAACATGCTTATGCAGTTTTAGTATCTCCTTAAAATTTCAAAACGTGACATTATATCAATATATCTTATTAAGTAGGAAGCCCTATTTTTAAATTGCATCCTATAATTCAATATACACATCAAGAGTGTGTGAGAACATGTGGCCACTACTCATTTTAAAACTGCTCCCTGGTCTCCATTCTCCTCTACTTCTCTGCAGCAATAAATGTTGCAGATCCACCATTTCCTTCTTGAAAGTCTCTTCACCCTGTATTCCACTAACACTAAATCTTCCAGGATCTCCTCTGATCTCTAAAAGTTCCTAAAAATGTTTAGTCTCTGGCTTTCCACCTTTCTCTCTTTTGAGGTCTTAACAACTTTACATACAATCTGAGATCTACATCATCAGCTCTACCTTGGCCGGGTTCCAGTTCCACATCTAATTTCAGAAGGTGACTTGCTTAATGAGGGTTCAGAAATCATATTGCAGGGACAATGATTGAAGACACTTGCATATAAATGACTAATGAAAGACTACAATTCAATTGTTAGCACCGAGAGACTAGGGACTGTATATCCAGAACTTTGTAGATGCCGAGGACAAAGCACATACTTTGCTGAATAAAAGAATACTAACATTTCAAATGTTTTAAGATTTACAAGGCCTATAATGCAGCAGTGATGTTTAGAAGAAAGTGCAGATTTAATTTTAAATGGTCTGAATGGAAATGTTTACTCACTGGTACAAGTTCCATGAAAGCTCATTTCCAAGAAAGTACATACCAACAATTACATACAGATGACCAGAATGGGATGGGCTACCTTATGAATTTGTCATTGTTGAGTTATTTAACTAGAAGCTAGGCAAGAGTAATTCCCGGACCAGAAGCAAAGCTGAATTCTTAAGGCCTACTCTAGGCTTAAAACAGTTTGCTAGCTGTTTCTGGGTAGGCACTCAATCATCTGCGACCCAACTGTATAAAGTTATATTCACCTTAAAACTACAGAATTTCAGAAAAAAATATGCCTTAGAAATATCTATTTTAGGCTGTTCATTTTATAAATGAATAATAAGACCCAAAGAAGTTAAGAGACCTGCCCAACGCTACGGATATAACAATTAAGCCGGGACCAATCTCTACGAGTGTTAAGATCAGGGGTTAGCAAACAAATCTGTAATTTCTGTACAGCTCTCAGCTTGTTTTTGTAAAATGAACAAAGAAGAATATGCAACAGCAGCTGTATATAGCCCCACAAAGCTTAAAATGTTTACTACTCAGCTCTCCACAGTAAAAAGTCTGATGACCTCTGATCTAGATAAATAAGCCAATTTTCCTATCTTTTGCTTCAATTACTTCTTTCCACAAAAAGCAGCAACACTCTCAATTTTCCATTACTGGTACCATCAAGGTCTTGATCATCTAAATCAACTATTCATATAGACTGAATCCTTTTCAACTTCCCAGAGCAAATTAGACACCCTGACCAGTTGACTCCTCTTTTGAAATATCTCTTGCATACATCTCTTGTTCCAAACTGCTCTACTCACTACCCCTAGAATAAAGGTTTTCCTAACAGAAATGGTTTTCTTCTATCACTTCTTACAATCTAAATCAATAATCAGCAAACCTTTTCCATAAAGAGCCTGAAAAATATTTTAGGTTTTGTGGTTCATAAAGTCTCTGCTGATACTACTCCACTCTGCTGTTATAGAGGAAAGCAGCCAAAGGCAGCCAGAGACAATATATAAATAAATGGGGTGAGGTGACATGGCTGTGTTCTAATAAAACTTTATAAAAATAGGAAGTGGGCCAAATCTGCAGGACAGTTTGCCAACTCCTGAACTGAGCCATACAATTTATTTAAACTCCAACTCAAGTCCTTTCTCCTATATGAACACTCTAAAGCCTATTCCAGATTATTGGGATCTCTCCCTGCTCACAACTCCATGAATTTACTATCTGGCTAACTTAACAATATTCATATACAGCTTTGTGAAGTCTCCTGTACTGTTGTAATATATAGTTTAACTCTTATTGTGATTGTTTTAGCCTCTCTGGGACTCACTGATCTAAAATTAAGGACTGCAGCCTAGATGACTGCCAAACTTTATAATCTATTATTTCACTCTTCACAGGTCATTTGTAAGTTTATAAGGAGTCAAAGGGTAGGACAAGGTGTTACATACTTCTGTATTGCCCATGAAACCTAAAATAGTACCTTGTATCCAAAAGTGGCTCAATCAGTACTTTCTGAGTTTGACTAAAACTAACCTGCAAATTTTTGAAGCAGCAGGGCCAGCGGCTACACCATAGTAGTTAAAAGCGACAGGAGCTGTGGCTTTTAATGGGTTCCTATGAAACCAGTGTGTCATTTTCTCCAGCTGTTTCCTATAAACAACAAAAGAAATTGTATAAAAAATAAAAAATTTAATAATGTAAATAGTATAAAAATTAAGTTTACTAAGGATACATGTATACATTTTTATTTTTTTTTTAAATATTTAGTATTGCTGGAAGTGTTCCAGATTTTTTTTTTATTCATTTTTTTGGCATATTTGGGTTTTTTTTTTAAAGATTTTTTTTTTTTTTTTTAATTTGAGACAGAGAGAATGAGAGAGAGAGAGCACATGAGAGGGGGGAGGGTCAAAGGGAGAAGCAGACTCTCTGCCGAGCAGGGAGCCCGATGCGGGACTTGATCCAGGGACTCCTGGATCATGACCCGAGCCGAAGGCAGTCGCTTAACCAACTGAGCCACCCAGGCGCCCCTACATGTACACATTTTTAAAGTATATTTATATATGTGTGTGTATATCTGAGACATACACACGTACAAATAATGACCCTTATTTAGACTGCTAAGGTTACTTGAAATAAATAGGTTTTAAATTAACTATATTTCCAACACAGTATTGCTGATGCCAATTAACTGGTTACAGCATGTGTTTCTCTAATAAATATACTTCCCACAAAACAGTAATAAAAAATCAGAATTTTCATGAATAAAAAAATGATACTTGATCAATAATTTCTATCCTATAAACCCAAAATACTTGAAAAATTATCTAAGTGAAATGCCAACTTAAAAAATAGTCCTAAGGGTGCCTGGGTGGCTCAGCTGGTTCAAGTGTACTACTCTTGGTTTCCACTCAGGTCATGATCTCAGGATCCTAAGATCCAGCCCCGAGTTGGGCTCTGCACAGAACATGGAACCTGTTTAGGATTCTCTCTCTCCTCCTGCACACAGTCTCTCTCAAATAATACAATCAATCTTAAAAATTAAGTTCCACTCCTTTTTGGTTTAAAAAAAAAAAGCATGTCACTTGCCTAATAGTCCTTGGGTAGAGAATGCGAATACAGGAAGGCCCAGCGGAACACTTAAATGTGGCAACTAGATTCCGGGAAATCAGTCAAGAAAACCTGATAAGGTTTAATTAACTTAAAGGCATTATACAATGTTGTTGATCGAATTTTCTTACTGGGGAAAGAAACAACAACCGTAGGCTGCACCGTGTAAGAAACACCTCCTGGAGCACCTCCCTTAAAATATTCACCTATTTCCGACAAAACCGATTTGGGAGAGCACCAGCTACTCAATGCATTGTATACACAATGGACAATTGAGCAAGTTCACTTATGGCTCAAAACACTTAATAAGTTCTTTTAAGAATATGTATAATCTTCTAAACATCCATGTAAACCAACTTTATAACAAGTAAATTAATACAGCCTCTACGTGCATATAAATCAAACCTTCTAAAGATAATGGCACACCATACACTCGATTCTGGGGACAGCAAATTTTCTACCAATACCCTTTTCAGGCGGATTTCCACTTCCTGGATGAAAATGTCCACAGTTCTGTGTATCCTGACTTCAGGAACGAAGAGGTAAGTACTGTACTCTCCGCCCCGGCCCCATCTTGCCCCTTTCTGAGACCTGCCACTCCTGTTTCCAGGAATTCGGAGGGTGGAAAGAACAGCGACACACCCACCCGCAGCTGCAAGGGTGCCCTTAGAGCCACCAGCACAACGGTCTGATCGAAGCTGCCACCTCCCCTGCCTCCGATTAGTGAAAGGGGCCCCCCACGAACCTACCTGGGAGCCACCCCCGAGCCTGGAGAGCCGACTTCCTGTTTACCACCCAACCTCTTCCTCCCGAGCTCCGACCCCCGGGAGGCGGCGCGCGGCGGCCTTGCGCAGGCGCCAAGCCTAGTAGCCCCTCATCTGAACAGGCATTTTCGTGGAAAGCCGATCCTTTCCACCCGGGAGAGGCGGGCAGACGACGGCAGGACAAACCCCCATTTAGCTTTTAAAAGATCCCCGATTGCCAGTGGAGACGCGGGCAAGGGGATTCAGCGAGTCTAGCTGTAAATACGATCGATTCGCGGGGCCAACGCGCATTTTCTTTCTTTCGTTTGTTTCAAGGCATTAGAAGGACACTTTTTTGGACACTATCCGGGAGTCTATGGAGACTGTAAAACGCGTGTAAAAGGGGGGGCGGTGACCCTATCGCTTGGGACTCCGGGATAACGCCAGGGGTAGGGGTGTTACTGGGAAACGCCCATTCTCATGACAAACTTACCGGATTTCTCGGAAATCTGTGTAGCAGTCCTCCTAAGGGAAGAAAGGGAACGTCCGAGTCCACAAACGAGAAAGGGAGGGAGGCGGAGAGCCAGGGCTGCCGAACCAGAGCAATGGGCAACCAGGCCTGCGCCAAGCCGGGGTCACGTGGCCCGGGCCGCCATGACAGCTACCGAGGCGGCAGTACGCGCCGCTTAGGGGCGGAGGCGCCGCGTGTCGCGGCCCCCTCGAAACGCTCCGTTCCTCAGCCCTGTCCTAGCTACTCTAACCCAGTCTTTAATCGTGAGCTGCGGTCTCTATTCCTGAGAGGAAGAGAGGACGCGGCCGGGCCTCCCAAGCCCAGGAAGAAAGCCGCAATAGCGATGGCGGCCCTCGCGGGAGCGGGGCGGCTTCAACCTAACGCGGGGCGGGGCTTCGGGGCGGAGCCTCGGCGGGGCGGCCGCTTCAGAGCCGCAAAGTTTGGCTGTGGCGGCAAATGGGCTTGGGCGGCTCCTCGGCGGGTGGCGGTGGTGGCCGTAGCGGTTCCTCCTGGCCCTGTTAATGTCGGGGCCAGGCCCGGGGAGGATGGCGCCCTAGAGCCCGGCCTCGCTGGGGTAGGGGCGGGAGGGGACGGGGTGGGCACCGGCCATGTCGGAGGTGACCCGGAGTCTGCTGCAGCGCTGGGGCGCCAGTTTTAGGAGAGGCGCCGACTTCGACTCTTGGGGCCAGCTGGTGGAGGCGATAGACGAGTATCAGATGTGAGTGACTAACCGCGGGAGCGGGCCAGCCGGGCTCCAGTGGGCCGCCTCCCCCTTTCTTCTGTCGGTGTCTCTTATCTCTGTCTGCAGCCAAGGCTTCCCAGGGTGGGGCCCCCGCAGGCACTGGGGCTGGGATCGCACCGGCCCCGGACGGGCTGCCCTGGAGACGGCGGTCCGCTCGCTGGGCTTCCGCGCCCCTCTCCCCCTCCGCCGCCACAGGGCCAGTTCCATTCAACAGGTAGCCCCTCTTTCCTGCGGCGCCCGCCCTAGCAGGCTGCCTCTGTAGTTCCTTGCCTCCTTTCCCCCGCCTCTCTCAGGTTGCTGCCGCTCAGTTTCTCTTCTAGAATCTCTGAGGGATACTTGTGTCTTCTCCGCCCACGTTCCAGGGATGAGTGGCCTTGCTCTGTATGGTGTCTGCCTCCTCCCATGTGTAGGACAGGAGGGAACTGGTGGCGCTTGAGGGGAGGGGGCGCCCCCAGGAAGCAGCGAGGACAGGGGCGCCTCACCAGCCAAGGGAAGGGTCCCCTCTGGCGCCCCTTCTCCACCCCTCTTTCTGGTGTGCCGTGTTTTCACAATTCACCTCGATTCCGTTTCGGTTTCTGGGACTGTTATTTGCTTGGCTGTGTGAGTCCCACCCACCCCCTCGCTCGGTTGCTTTGGGTGGAGTCCGCGCAGGATGTGAACAGAAGAGAGCAAACTAAATTAATAGACCACGCACGGGAGCCACCACTCCCTCTTTGGGTCCCTCCTCCTTGCCCTATGTTTAATGTATAGCCGCAGGGTACTTTGTGAGTACCAGTTTCTTTGATCTTTGACCCGAAGTCCGATTTCTTAATAGCCTTTCTGGCTTCCCCCAAAAAACTTCAGGGGTGTTTCTAAAATTAAAAGACAAGATTTACGTGTATATAAAACCTTGCTTAGTTTCTTGCACCTTTTACTGAAAAAATAACTGCCTGCTAAAATGCTGTTGTTTGCAAACTGTTGCCATTAATTACTTTCTTGGTTAAAAGCAAGTTATTGTTTGAGGTGTTACTGACTATGAAACCATGTGAGTAAAATCTTTTTTTTTTTTTTTTTACTCCCTCAGTGTCTCCTGGAAAGAATATAGGGTTGAGACTTGGAAGCTTTAAATTCTTTTTCTTTTCCCTACAATAGTTCTTGTTTTTATCTGACCATTAAGATAATTTAAATGTGCAGATGTTTTCTACCCCCATGGTACTGACTTGTAGTTTCAAAGAGCCCTGGAAACAACCATGCTCTGGGCCATGTTGCCAAGTTTAACAAGTACTAGCCTCTGTCTTGCATCTTCACTTGATTTCCCTTGCTCCTGCAACTACTTAGTGAGAACATTACTCTCATTTTACAAAATGAGGAAACGGAAGCTCAGGTTAAACATTAACAGGGGTCCTGAAACTACCACTGAAATCGGGGATTTTTTTTTTTTAACTCCAAATCCTGACTGCTCATACTACATAGGGCTTAAGACACTTTATTTAATGTGCCTTGTGTAAGTAAATTGGACAAATGAGAAGGTTTCCTTCGTTACCAGGGAACATATCTTAACCAGACCGTAGCCAGTTAGCACCTGTGTGTACTCATTCTTTGGGTTAACTAGAATCGCATACCCTGAATTGTAAAGCTGCCTTCACTTGTGATGCGGTGGGACTTAGCAGCTGTTGACACACTCAGCAGCAGACTTCACAATGGAAAGTGAAGAATACCATGTCCAATTGAAATTACAAAGGAAAATTGAGTATGCAAGCTGTTTCGCTGGAATTTCTAGAAACATCTCAATGAGAGTAATAGCCACATACAAATCTATTGTTGGACCACAGTACTAACCTTTGAACTTCATAATTCAGAGAAGTTCTCAAATTATAAAAACTGCCAGTGTCAAATCGGAGGAGTATGATTGGCTTAAATTTTGTAAACACGTAGGCTACACATAAAATGAGGTTGAATTTAAAATTAATATATTCAAAAATGAAGACAAATTGTCTTTTTTTATTGCAGTTATCTCTTTGGGAGGAAAGGCTACAGAAAAGGAGACCATTTGGGGGCCACTAAATACTGTAAAAAAGAACGGACAGCATTTAGTGACTGGATGTTGAGAGTGAAAGAGAAGAGTCTAGGATAATTGGCATTTCTAATTGGGTAGGCAGCAGGGACTTTATCGTCTTGCAACACACAGCGAATTTATGGGAGAGGGGATATTGGGGAGGAAAGAAACATGTTTCTACCATCACAGTGTAAGAATACTAATAGCTTAATCTTGTCTTTCAACAACGACGAGAACAGGGGCTGTAAAGATATATAAGATTTGATTCCCATCCTCAGAGCCCTGAGGGTCTGATGGAGGATTTTATTTTTTTTTTTTAAGATTTTATTTATTTGACAGAGAGAGACACAGCAAGAGAGGGAACACAAGCAGGGGGAGTGGGAGAGGGAGAAGCAGGCTTCCCGAGGAGCAGGGAGCCTGATGCGGGGCCCGATCCCAGTGACCTGAGCTGAAGGTAGACGCTTAACGACTGAGCCACCCAGGCGCCCTAATGGAGGATTTTTAAAGTAATTGGGTTTTGCTCTTACAGAAGTACGAAAAGAGTATGTGCTACCACACTGCTTGCTGTTCCCAGGAGCATGCTTTTGCCTTAGGGCTTTTGTACTTTTTCTGGAACATTGTTCTCATTATCTGCTAGGATCACTTGGTCACCTCCTTCAGGTCTTTGTTCAGATATTATCTTCTCAGTGAGGTCCTTTCTGGCTACCTTATTTAAAATTGTGAAACCTGTTATCCACCCCAACTCCCTCTACCTCAGTCTTGCACATCCTAAATGCCCCCCCAAATCCTATTTAATTTTTTCCATAGTATTTATCACCATCTAAAATAACAATATATTGGGGCACCTGGGTGGCTTAGTCGTTAAGCGCCTTCCTTTCGCTCAGGTCATGGTCCCAGGGTCCTGGGATCGAGCCCCACATCCGGCTGCCTGCTCGGCGGGAAGCCTGCTTCTCCCTCTCCCACTCCCCCTGCTTGTGTTCCCTCTCTCACTGTGTTTCTGTCAGATAAATAAATAAAATCTTTAAAAAATAATAATAAATAAAATAAAATATATTTTACATATTCATTTGGTTTATTGTTTCTCTCCCCACTTGAATGTAAACTCCGAGAGGGCAGAGTTGGAGGTGTTGTCTTATTCTTTACTATATACTTAGTGTCCTAGTGATGCTAGGCTGTTATTAAATAATTGTTTGTTTAGATATTATATGTTGTGTTCTTTTGAATGGATATGGATTCAGAAGTATGCTGTGGGAGCATTGAGTTGATATTAAAGTGGTGTTGGAAGGTTTAAACGAATATGTCAAAACTAGGATTGCTAGCCAAAATATACATGGTTAATTAAAAACAATTCCATGAAGCAGGCCACCTCTTTCAGCAACCTGGGGATACATGACCCCAAACTTCTGGTAGAATGGTATGGACTCTGTTGCTCAGAATCAGATATTTCATAGCATCAATGCTTAGGGATCAGTCTAGCACACGGGTGCTCAATAAATACTTGTTAAATGAATGAGTGATTTTGAAGACTGAATAATACTTGCTCTTAATCATCTTTATTATGCTTTCATCATTGCTACTCAGAGTAGGTCCACAGATGGGTACTGGTCTGCAATGAGATAAAGGAATTGAGATTTAAGATTTGACATCTTCATGAGAGTTTTTATTATATTTTATAGAAGTGTTAGCTTGGAACAGATTGGAGAAAGAAACTAGTCCTTCACTACAGATAGTTTGAGAAACACTAATTTCTGTCGTGGATTGTTGTGGAGTTTCTTTCAGTCACTTGTTTATGTGTTTAAAGTATATTTTAAACTCCCTCTTGAGAATAGTGCTGTTTGACCCGTAGGCATCCTTGTAAGATGAGATTATTCTCTAGAGAATATTTGAGAGGTTTCTCACCTTTCCTAATAGAATGTCAACTCTTTTAGCTGCTCATCTGATATCCAGAGCATATGGATTTTCCCTCGATGGACAAAATCATGTCTCACTTTGTCTTAAAATGGTGCAGTCATTTATGGATTTAGAAATTTAATATTTTTTTTACTCAGGTCTTTAAAAAAGTTTTTAAAATCATATAACTTACATACCATGGAATTCACCCATCTTACATGTACAGCCCCGTGACTTTTTAGTAAATTTACCAAGTTGTACAACCATCGCTACAATCAAATTTTATAACATTTCCATCACCCCACAAACCTCCTTTGTGCCCATTTGCAATCACTCCATATTCCTGCTCCAGCCCCAGGCAACTGCTAATCTATATTCTGTCTCTAAAGATTTTGTCTTTTCTGGACATTTC